GGAAGGAAGGAAGGAAGGAAGGAAGGAAGGAAGGAAGGAAGGAAGGAAGGAAGGAAGGAAAGAAAAGAGAGAAAGAGACAGTGTTTCTCAATTTCAGCCTCTTTAGGATATCAATTCCCAGAGTTCCTTAGTCGGTCAATATCGCCCAATCAATGTTGTCTAATACAAAAGGTCTGGGGCATCTCAGTCAGTACAGTATAATTACTCCTCCAGTGGAAATTAGAGGGTGCAAATTAGAACAAGACGCCAAGAGAAAGTGGCTGGTTTAAGGCCACCCAGAGAGTTTGCTTGTTCCAAAAGGAGGGAGCCTCAGAACTAAATATATCTCGGCTCCTGTTTATCTACTGCTCTGGACGGCATATATGGCTCAAGGTTCTTTCTACCTGTTGTTTTCATATCTTTCAGTTAAAGGATTTTAATTATCTGGCTGGCAGGCGATTATATGAGCTTCTCAGGGACGAGCTGGAACATCTAAAGTTCTATTAAAAAAGATTTTCATTTTTCTTTTTTTTTTGAGCAAAATCTTGGCTCATTAATTTAGAGCGCTTTCTGGCAAATGCTAGGTGGTAGACACGAGGATTTAATAAAAATTTACCGAGGACCGAAGGAGTAAATATCATACCTAATTGAGTATAAAACAACCGAGTATTTCATACGGGAGAAAATGAAACGATGCCTGGTGGTTGTAATTGGTGGGAGTGGGGAAAAAAATACAAGGCTATAAAACAGGAGGGGGAGAAGGGAGCGAAATATTTTCTAAGTTTCACACCGGAAAAAAGGTCAGGATGATCTTGTATTTCGGATGACGACGGAAGACTTGAAGAATTTGAAAGCGAGAGCGGACCTACGGAAAGCCGCAAAGAACCAACTGTCCTGGCCCCGTTGGAGCCTGAGTCCGTGGAGGAGGAGCTGGGCTGATGGAGGTCGAGGGGGCGGCCTTGTTGGCTTCAGAGGAACGCGGGAAGGAGCAGGATAAGGCAGTGCTGAGTCCCTCGTTCTCGGGATGGCTTGCCAGCACGGAAGAACGGGGATAGGATGACCAAGAGAAGGGGTAAGAGAGGGCAGGCGGTAGGGATGAGGAGCGACGGAGCTCAGGCAACAAGCAAGGAGCGGCCCCTCTTGATCTCCGAGCACGGAGAGTGGAGAGAAGGCAAGAACAGCGCAGACTGAGCCGACTACTCGGGGAGGAGAGTGCCCCACCCCCCTTCACAAGGCACACCTGGGGACTGAGACTTAAGGAGACGCTATGGGGAGGGGCGCTTGATGGGAACAAGCGCTGAATTTGTGGAGTTTTGTGTGCCGTTGCTGACATCTGAAGTTTGCTGGATTTCTTGACTTGTTCCTTTGCTCCGTAATAGTTTTTCTGTGTGTGTGTGTGTGTGTGTGTGTGTGTGTGTGTGTGTGTGTGTGTGTAAAACCTGAGAGAGGTAGAAAAAGTTGGCAGATAAGTTGGTAGGTAGGTGGTAGATATATATATAGATTTTTTTAGTTCTGCCAATATTGGCAATATTGTACTATGTATTCGTTGTTCAGTGGACATATGTTGGCTCTCATCTGAATTTGCTATTAGAAGGCGTGAAGATGCTGATAGAGAACGTCTTGCAAGCAGGTGTTCTAGCTGGGTTGAGCTGAAGAGATGATGAAAACGGGAATTGTGGGGGGAAAAAATTCGAATGAATGCTCCGAAACCCTCTGTCGAAGACTGTAACCTTCTGGAATCTGAGAAGGGGGTTGTAGCTCCTGGTTTTTTTGGGTGGGCTGCTCATCCTTGATTCCAGCCCCAGATCAAAACCGGAAGCCGATTTGGAAGAGTAGGAGCTCCCATCTTTAAACAAGGTTATTTTATTTATTTATTTATTTATTTAAATTTTAAAACAAACTTTATGGAATACAAAAAAAATTAAAATATACAAATATACGAGCTCAAAAGACAAAGATCCATAACAGACAAACGTCACGATAAATCTCTGCGCTAAAAACTAATTAAACAAGGTTGTTTCAGAACCGCCCAATCGCGGGTCAGAAATTCAAGAGGGTTCGTGGTATTTAATCGCCGAGGTAGGCAGGAACGCTATCTTACACGAATTCCCCCAAATGCAGAATAATTTTTTTTCCTCCGGCCGCCTTCCATTCTGGGTAGAAAGCTGCAGAGCGGAGAGAGAGGCATTTAGAGTCCTTTCATGTGTGTGTGCTTGCCAGGAATGTACAAATACCCTGACATTAAGCAATTTATTCCCTTCATAAATATGCAGACCTGGGGAAGGGGAAGATGGCCTTTGCGGAGGGCCGCGCGTGGCTGGCAGGGCTCGGCCCTACTTGGTAATTAAAAGAAAGGCCTTTCTTCCCGCTTTCCAGGTTGGTCTAATGAGGATCCAAATCCATTAGCCTCAGTTTGGGGAGGCGCAAATCAATTTCGATGTCCTTTCGGGATGTAGGTGAAGCTGACCCCGCGCGAACCTCTTTGCTTTAAGGGGTTTTGATGTAGTGTCCAATCTTTACTGTAAGCCTGATCTATTTTACCTCAGCCTCGGAGGATTTCCCTCAGCTGGTGAGGAAAAAGCACTTATTAATCAGCCAACTTTTCGCGTCCCTTTCTTAGTGACTTGTAACAACTGAAAGTCTGACGTAAATTTACAAATTTGGAGCAGTTTAATAAGGATGAGGCAGGAGGGGCCATTTTAAAAGCCGAGATAGTTCCGAGATAAACCGATTTATTGAGGAGTATGTTGTCTTGGCCAGGAACCTATTTCAACTGACTTTAATGGGAAAGGGTCAAGTACGGCAATTTTACGACCAGCGGACTTCAACTCCCAGAATTTCTGATCCGTTTTATTCGAGGTGGGATC